TCAGTGGAATCTATCTCTGCTTCAAATGTATTCCAAAACGGCAACCAGTCAGAATATTTACCACTAAATTTCGTAATTTTTAATTTAGGTAATTTTATGTTTTGTACCTGTTTGGATTTCGTGTCCATCGACGCTTACACGGTCTTTTGGTACTCCATCGTTTGCTTCCGTAGCAGCTCCCCGTGTTCCAAATCTCTCTTCCGTTCTGCTTCTTTATGAGCTCGTTCCAGCTCTAACTTCGCATGTTCAATTGACAGCTGTTTCTTGGTCTCCGCGTCGACAGAGATACGTTGTATTTCCTCGTCCTTTTCACGTTGCACACTGATTTCCTCCTGTTCTATTTCACTCAACACGACTCGAATTGCGTTTAGTGCCGATTCAGCGGCGGTCAATTTTAACTCAACTTCGTCAGCCCAAGTACGTACGTTTTCCTCTGAGTCCTTATTGATAAATTTTAACTCCTCAATTTCCTCTTTCAACACGTAAAGTGCGCTGATTTTTCTCGCGATCGACTGTTCACTTCGTTTAAGTGCGTCTTTATTACGCGCGGTCACAGTGTCTTTCGATTTGGCAAGCACCAAGTCTAGCGCTTTCAATTTCCCAGTTAATTCTTCCATTTTTGTTTCCATTTTGATTTAATCCCGTCTTGGAGGTGCCACTATTTTGGGGATTGCCTCCCTTGTTTCGCCCAACAATTCACGTACAAATTAAAACCACAAAATAAATTCGCAATGACGATATACAGTTTGTATATATATATATATATATATATATATATATATATATATATATATATATATATATATATATATATATATATATATATATATATATATATATTAGAACAAACAAAACAAATTTAACAAATTAAAGGTTTACTTAGATTCTCTTCTCTTGCAATATCACAAGTCACGCTCTCGAGGAAGTTTTTCTCAACACATAATGTTTCACGTGCATGCAGATTTTTGTATTGCCTTTCGTAACAGGCACGCAATGACCCGAACTTTATACAAGTTGGTACAACTTTGTACAAGTTGCCAATGTGCTGCTACACCTTGGTACAAGTTCTTAAAGTGCTGGTACCCCTAATTGGTACAACTTGCCACCTTGACCGACCTAGTATAATATTCTAAATTTAACTAATATAAAATTTATGTAAAGTAATGTTCAATATAAAAGTTTGATCAACCTAAAATTGGAATCATTATATATAACTAACTAAAATTAATAACGTGCTATAATAATAATAATGGACAGTCTCCGACAATTGCGATAAACTTGTGCGGTTTTTCATTTTTTTTTCTTTCTCCTTTTATTGCCCATATATTATAACATATAAATATTTACATTAAAAAAAAAATAGATTAATGTTATGGGAGGGGCCTACCAGAAACCTTAGCAGGCTTTTATTTAAGACCCCTATAGATATAAAATTTAGATGCCAGTTCTAACTACAGACTATACAGTCAACCAAATTTAAAATATATTACAATAAGTATTATAGTTAAAAGAAAAGAAAGAGAGAAAATGTGAAAGCTATTTACAGCATAAAGTGTTACATTGTACATATAATTTGATTAATTACTTGATATTTGAAGGAAGTGTTCTTTTATAGTATTTTTGAAAGTAGTACGAGAAGTGATATTTTTAAAATGACATTCAAGTCCATTCCAAACATCGACTCCTTTATTTGAAAGAGCATGTTTTACATAGTTCGTTCTTTTGTATGACTTGTGGAGTTGTGTTTTATTTCGTGTATTGTGTTGTGTTGGTGGATTTGATCATTGGTCACAAAGTAATCAGTGAATACCTCTGGTAGATTTTTGGTGTAGTGATATCGAAACATAAATAAACTTATTAAATAATCATTAATTTTATAAATATCTAGAATTTTTAAGTCTTTAAAGATTGGTTCGCTATGTGCCAAATAAGAGTTGAAAGTCATAAGGCGCACAATTTTTTTGAACATTCATAAGTTTTTGGATTCTTTTTTTGTAGGTATTACCCCAGATTATATTTCCATAGATAAGATATGGATAGACTAAAGCATAGTAAATAAGCTTAAAGGCATTTAAATTTGTAAAATGTCTTATTTGCGCTATTACTCCAGCAGATTTAATAACTTTTTTGCTATTAAATCCACGTGTTCATTCCATGTCAAGCATTCATCAATAACAATACCAAGGAATGTGGTATTTTTTACCTGTTTTAATTTTTCTTTGTTTATTTCTATTGTTACATCAAAATTCTGTTTTTTGTTATAAGATCTAAATAGAATAAACTTTGTTTTTGAAGTATTTATGGATAATTTATTTATATTTAACCATTCAGCTACCTTATTAATTTCTACTTGCATAATTTCATTTAGTGTTTTAAGACATTTGTTACTATGAGATATCGTTGTGTCATCCGCAAATAATATAAATGAAACTATTTTACTGCAATGCTGTATATCGTTTATATACAAAAGGAACAACAGTGGTCCCAGAATGGAACCCTGGGGGACTCCACTTGTGATTGTCATTTCTTTTGATCTCGCCTGATTGTATTTTACAATTTGTTTGTTAAAGTGCCGTTGTCTGTTTTTGTTATTAGGACGTCCAAAAATGCGAGTTTGTTGTCATGTTCTTCCTCTTTGGTAAATTTGATGTTCTTAGTGGTGTTGTTAATTGTTTGTAGGATGTCGTCTGTTTTGTCCTTTTTGACAGTAGCAAGTACATCGTCTATATACCTGTCCCATGTTTTAATGTCGTCATTGTTTGTAACAGCTTTACTTTCCAGATCTTGCATCACTGCCTCAGCAAGGAAACTGGATAGTGGCGACCCCAGAGGAGCGCCGGAGATTTGTCGGTAGTAATTGTTCTGGAAGCAGAATTCAGTTGAAAGGCATAGGTCAAGTAAATCAAGAATGTCTTGTATCTTAAGTTCTGGCGGTCTTTGTTTGCCACGAAGTATTGTTAGTAAGTAGTTTTTCAATTATTAGTCGTGCAGTGTGAAGTGGAATGGAAGTGAACAATCTAGGTGTTTATCTGCCATGTGGTGTTTCTTCACTAAATATTGAAGGTGGCTTGAATGACAAAAAAAGTTTAGTGACACCAAAAAACACCATGAGATTATAGGGTTGTCTATAAGACCTATAAGCTTGCATTATGCCTAGTGCATGCACATATAGTCTGTATGGTAATTATAGTTAAATGTTAACTATTACCTAAAGATAATACTAAATTCTTTTTTCCGATCATTAATGTTGCAAGTTAATGAATCCATTATCAGCAGATGCCTACATATTCAAAACAAGAAAACAAAAACTGATGTTGGAATTTTGTGCAATTAAAATGATAAGCAACCATGTAATTTTAAAACAATTACGGTACCAAGGTGTAATCACAGCCAGTAGCCAATGGTGTCTGTAAAATATGAATTACAGGAATAATCATATAAAGGCATGAATTAAAGCACAACCTAATTTACATTGACTCCTGACCTCCTATTGATAGGAATAAAAATGTAATCCTTCTCTAGCATATCTGGTGAAACAAACTGCTCTGCCTGTTTATTCCTCTGTTCTCTAAAAAAGGTTACACTATTTTACTCTAAGCAATAAATATCTATCTAAAACTATCATTAAGGTACTTTTTTGATTCAAAAATTTATTCTCATACTGGCAGAGCCCCCGGAAGATCGATAATTGGGGGGGGGCAGATATTCATATATTCGTCTTCTGCCCAATTAATTTCTTTTAAAATTGAGATTTAGATTTTAAAATCACAGCCTGTGAACATGAATATCTGCCCCCCCCCCATTATCAATCTTCCGGCACCTCTGCATACTGGTCAAACTATTGTGTACCTGTAGTTCTGTTGACCATGCATGCATAATATATACAGTACCTGGTTTTCTTAATATTTCCTTCTTGTTCACCACATAATACAGTGTACCAATAGGTACTCACCACAGGAAAATTACATAGAGTTTCCCTAAAGAACGTGTTCATAAAAGGTATACACTGTTAAGCCATCAATAGCAAAGTTAACATTTGCCAGGCATTAGACAGGACATTTCTTGTAACTAATTAGGCATATTTGGGGTATATCTAATGTAATTGTGGCAATGGTGGGTTAATTGTTACAATACATAGACAATTTACAGTAATCTGGATCATGACTAGTATAAAGGTATGTACATTTGCATGGGCCTATATTAAAATGACTCAACAGGAACTTTTGCTTTAAACAAATGTAAACTTACCCTATCAGGTAATTAACAATGTTGTCATTTAGCATTGTGTTTGCTTGAAGACCATCAATGCACGCCTGGTAGATGCTGCAGTCCGATACACTAATCTTAGGGGGGTCAACAGTATCATCACAGATACCAGTGCCATCTTTGATACCTTGATCATACTTATCGAGATCTTCATGTGTAACAGGATTTTTATCGACTTTTATAGTAGTACTACCAGTACATAAATCTGGGAGTTTCTCACCTGTTCGAAGTACAAATAAAAGTTTAGGCTTGTATTTATTATGTCATCCCATACATACAGTGTCCTGGACTCAGATTCGCATTATTCCATTATGCATGCACACTGTGAGTGACTCAGGTAACCATAATTTAAATTTGGCTATTTGAAAAATTATTGGAAAAAACTACACACTGGCTGGAAAATTTGAAGTAACACAATTTCAGTATTATTTTGTATTTATCTCTATTTTATTCAATGCAGATCCACAGTATACATAATGGGTCGTTCCAGAAAAGATCCATACTCCCCCCATGGAGGAAATTTCTGCCGTCCGGAGCGTAGGAGGGGAGGAAAAATTGTTTCTGATAATAGTAAATGTATTAGGGCATCCAAAGAGGGTAGAGGGTTAACTTCCTATTTCCTCCGTGGGGGGAGGGTATGGATGTTTTCTGGAATGACCCAATATGTATTTTACCTGGTTTGAATAATCTACATCCAGGGTACTGGAGGTAAATGATTATAGTAGGATACTGGAGGTAAATGATTATAGTATCCACTTACATGTAGATAGAAAATCTACAGACTTGTATGTGATAAAATAAGTAATATATAAAATACTTACATTGTATTCCATTCTGAGGCATCATAAAAGGTAAAACATGATTCGGTATGCATCAGTCAACCACAGATGAATAAAAGTTGCTGTATACATTTTCAACGCATTTGCGAAAATGCTCAGGGATATGGTGATATTGCAATACAGTGGAGATTAGTCGATGGTGAACCTCGCCAAAAGCATTTTTTAAATCCAACAAAGTTACTGTTAGAGAACGCTGTTGTTTTTTTGCTTGCTTGATTAGAAATGCTAAGTGTGCTGTGTGTTCAAATGTACCAGACATTCCAGGGGTAAAACCTTTTTGAATGCTGCTTTCAATAAAATTATTCATTAACAGGAACTCGTACATCGTATTACGCAAGATAGACATGAAAATTTTCAACGGAACTGGCTGCAAAGTAATCGGTCTAAAGTTTTTAGGCTCATCGGGGGAATCTTTTTTGTGAATCAAAATGCTAACTGCTTTCTTCCAAATATCCGGTATTTCACCCGACTTCCAAACATTTTGAATTATAGCAGTTAAGTACGATCTAAGGTATGCAGGTTTTTTAGCGGGATTATAGAAAATTGATCCAACGGGCAAGCTGAGCCATTAGATTTCATTCTTCTAATAATTGTGGTTATTCTTGCATAAGTAGGAGGATCTGAATTGAATTTACGCGTAGGTAAGTATGCGTGGGCAATAAACGTTTCCACATGGTAATAAAGTAATTTGTACAGCTTGACAAGTTAAAGGTCGGCAAAAGTTTCTTTCCAAAATCAAGTTTCATTTTCGTATAACGCCAAAAGTTTTTTTTAATTTCTTCGTCATCATTGAGGGAATTTAAACCGGAGGAAGATCCTTTTTTCGAAGCTAAGTTACGTAATAGTTTTGAAACGTACCTAATGTTATTCACATCAGTGATAGATTGATGCTTCAATGCTTTCAATTCACGTTTCAACTTAGTTAATTAGCATACTACTTGTCGAATTCTTCGTCAAGAGCATTTTTCTTATTCACTTCCCGAAATTTTCAGTAATAATAATAATAATAATAATAATAATAATAATAATAATAATGAAAACTTTATTAATAGAACATTTATAGGTATATACAATTGTAAATCTCACTTCTTGAGGTAACCTACAATTGACTACTTGAATCACTTATACGTGGTTATAGTTTTATATACAAAAATTGTTAATTATTTATAGAAAGAGTTACTTTAAATGTTCATTAGTTCGGTATTTGTCCATTCTTTATTTCTACAGCAAAATATGTAGTACGTTGATCGGATGGCAATAGATATCATTTTTCTGATACAATATTGTTGGTGTTGATTATCCAGTCCTAACTCATTTAGCATTTTTACGAATGTATGGCATTCTTTGTCAAACACCCCTAGCGAACTGACTGAAAGATTTATAAATTTAACAGATGTAAAGTTTTGATCTAGTTCTCCAATTAGGTTCTTATATTTAGCTTTCTTGCGGTTAACATTGTTTGTGAGGTTTGATTCAAAGCCTACGGTTAGTTCAATAACGTAGAGGTGTTTGTCTGAAGAGGAGACAAGTAAATCAGGACGATATTCATCACCCGTAATAATCGAGGGGCTTTCAAATCCAGGAAGATCAACAAGTAATTTGCATTCGTTTAAACTTTGAAAGGTTTTTGCAAGAAACTTTAGTATGCAATCGTGTCTCCAAGTAAATCGTTCCAAGTAATGTTGACAACCGGCAACAACGTGCAGAAGTGATTCAGGGTGTAAGCAGAACGAGCAGTCAGAACTTGATGAAATTCCCCATCTACTGAGGTTCTTTCGGGTAGGAAGGGTATTATTCATATAGCGAATTGTAAAGTTGAAAATGTTCTTTGGTAGCTTTGATTGCGATACCGACCAAATTGCGTTAAGTTGTGATAGGGAGAATTTAGAAATATTTTCGAAAAAGGAACCTTGACATTTCAAACGGTCCCTAAGTTTATTTTCTTGTTGAGAATGGAAAGTTTTTAAAACTTCTTTAGTTGAATTGTAGCTATCGTATTGAATGTTAGTATGATTATTAGTTGACTTCCACAGTTCGTTAATTGAATCGTTTGAAGATGTTTTTAGGGCATTGCGTAGAACTGTTTGACACTGAATGAACTTGACGGATGCAGGGATGATATTTAGACCAAACTTATTACGGGTTAGAAAGATGTTACTTAATGTTCCAGATATAGGTACTTCCAGCCATTTTCGGACGTACTTGTTCACCGGAGAATCGATATTTTCGACTACCCAAGTTTTAGATATCGTAGCAACAGTTAAATGCCAGGATAGTTTAGACAAAACATAACGACTGTAAAGTAAAATTTTGTTTTTTGGGTGAAGAGGTTTAAGATCTATTTCGGACATTAGTTCATCAATGAGGGAGATCAGTTTACATTTATGTTTTTCATTAGTCATGCTAAAGTCGAAGTGTCGTCCCAAATACTCAAATGATTCTCCAGTCTTAATCGTTGGTATGAGATCCTTTTTGATCAAAAGCTTCGGCAGGTACTGGGCAGATTTTGATAAAACTTTTTTGATGCCAAATGTGCTACATTTATCAACTCTAACAACCATGTTGGACCATTGGCAGCAGATAGAGAATCGATTAAGGAGATGTTGATTTTCCGACTCCTGACCAATAATAACCGCAGCATCATCGGCAAACTGAAACCAGTGGATTGGATTAAGGAGTTGGAGGGAGAAACCGAACTGGCGGTACTTTTCAGCTTTGATATGTTGAATATATGTGTTGAAACACATATTAAATAGTAGAGGACTAAGACAGTCACCTTGCAAAACACCACGGCCAACAGGTATAAAATGGGCACGGAACTCAGAAGTAATTACGGAAGTTTTAAAATCAGTGTATAAGCTTTTTATTCAATTATTCATGTGATTAGGGATGTGATGATAGCCAAGGACAGATTGGATTAAGTTATGATGAACTTCTCCAAAAGCGTTTTTGAGGTCATGCAAGTAGTGTGATGACAAGTGAACGTTGTTTTATCCGAGCTTTGTTGATTATATTAGCCATTTGCGCAGTATGTTCCATAGTACCAGACAGATTCGGGGTGAAACCTTTTTGTATGTTATGTTCTATAAAGTTATTGGCGGTGAGAAAGGAGTACATTGCGTTACGTAGAGATGATGTAAATACTTTACGCGGTATAGATTCGAGTGTGATCGGTCGGAAATTTGAAGGAATACTCGTGTTGCCTTTCTTATGAATAAGTATAGTGCAAGCTTTTTTCCATTCACTCGGGATAGATCCTGAAAGCCAGACGGCGCGTATTAGTTCAGTTAAATAAGTTCTTAGGTAAGGACATCGCTTAAAGCATATAATTGATATTTGATCGAGAGGACAAGGAGAACCAGATGCTTTCATTTTACGAATAACAGCAGTAACTTGTTGGTAAGAAGGCGGGTCAAGGTCAAATTGCACTTGTGGACCAGATAACCTAGGAATCCAGCTAGGAATATGAAACAGTTTGCCAGGGTGAACTGCAGCTAAGGTTTTAGTAAAATAAACCGCACATTCTGTCATGCTGAAGGATGGGAACACAGTATCTTCCTTATTTAAAACGTTTTTAACATAACCCCCAAAATTTCTTTCTATGTATTTGTTATGATTAAACGAGTTGTCTCGGTTGGAGTCTGTCTGAATATCACCATGGTTACGAAGCTTATTGCGCAGAATACGAGACACATATTTTATTTCGGCTACCTCCGAATTTGTGGACTTTAGATTGCTTAAAGCCTTCTTTAGATCCTTTATAGAATGATCTTTATACTTTGCTACGAGTTTCTCGTCGGGGGCTGTCTCAACATTTCCAAAATTATCAACAAAGTAATTATATATAGTGTCATTTAAATGCCTTATACTTGAATTGAAATCTTGCGATATGATTGGTCCATTAAAAGGGATTGCAAATTTAAAATAATCGTTGGCCGTTTCCCATTCAGAGTCCTTCTTCGGAAGATTTATGCCTTTCTTTAGATCAGGAGTAATTTCTTCATTGTCTAAAGTTGACTGTGTAGTGGGTGGGTTGTCGTCCGTTATAATATTCTCAGGGTTATCTGCAATTTGCTCCTCAAGATCTGCGCATAACTCGTTGTTTAGCCCATGTAAGACTTGACAGCTACGCTGGTGCATTTTCAAACCCCGATTGCCTTTACAAACTTTGCCTCAGCAACATTTAATTACAGTTCATTGTGTATAATAGGTATGTTAGGATTACTCAAAGCAGGCATTTCTCTTTCTGTGTTTTCAGAGCGGCTTTGATCATGATTAATACGTTGTTTACACCGCCATGAGTGTCGCCCAAGCGTTACAAAATCTTGGTCACAGAATAAACACACGACGCAAGTGAGCAACATAGCAATAAAACTTGAACGAATCATGATTAGAAACTTTTGTGTTTAATTTTAAACAAATATAGATGTGATTCAGGTAAGAAACCAGCGATAAAACTGTGGACATGTACAGAGCGTGTTTGAACGCTCTGCTCGATGTCGTATAATAATAATAATAATAATAATAATAATAATAATAATAATAATAATAATAATAATGGAAACTTTATTACTTTCAATAATATATATACACACTACAATGATAAACCTCTCTTTACAGGTAGTTTACCAGTGTCTACTTGAATTAACACTCTATATAATAACAATATTAGTATGACATTAGTTGTGGGTTATCCCATTCTTTGTTACGCTTACAGAATATATAATACGAGGACCTGATACATATATTAATAATTTTCCGAACATAGTACTTTCTACATTGTTCATCAAACTTTAGATCTTTCAGCATTTCGGTGAAATCTAGCGACGGGTGGCTGAAAACTCCTAATGAGCTAATCGATAAATTTACAAATTTCACTTTTTCATAATTTTTGAGCTGTTCGTTAATTAGATCTTGATATTTTTGTCTTTTTCGAGTTGCATTAGTGAGGAGTTTAGATTCAAATCCAACGGTAAGTTCAAGTATATAAATACATTTGTTTTCAAGTGTTATTAAAAGATCAGGGCGCAATTCATCTCCGGTGATAACAGATGGACTGATATAGCCAGGAAGGTCAGCATAAAGGTTGCAATGGTTCACAGATTTAAGTATGGATGCTATGAAGTTAAGCACCGAATCATGACGCCACGTGAAACGTCCTTCATTTAGGTAGGTCTTGCATCCAGCGACGACGTGAAGAAGTGATTCTGGATTCAAACAAAACGAACATTCGGATGTTGGTGATATTCCCCATTTCAGAAGGTTTTTGCGAGTCGGAAGAGTGTTATTTATATACCGGATAGTGAAGTTAAATATATTCTTGGG